GTAAAGGAATTTGTAATGATCAGATTAATTTTACAAAAAATGCTAAACGGTGTTCTTTGAACTGAGACTCAACAACAGCAGACACCCTGAGATGACCACGCAGGACACCACCGAGCATTCAACCCAGACACCCTGAGATGACCACGCAGGACACCACCGAGAATTCAACCCAGACAACCTGAGATGACCATGCAGGACACCACAGAGAATTCAACCCAGACAACCTGAGATGACCACGCAGGACAACACCACCGAGAATTCAACCCAGACAACCTGAGATGACCATGCAGGACAACACCGAGAATTCAACCCAGACAACCTGAGATGACCACGCAGGACAACACCACCGAGAATTCAACCCACCGACACGTTGCTGTTGTTGTTAAGTGCCATTAGTTGATTTCAACTCATAGCAACCCTGAACAGGGTTTCCAAGGAGCACCTTAGCCCAGTAGTCCTATATTGCCACACCAGTAGTCCAATCCAGATATAGAAGTATTTAAAGTAAACAAACCTACAAGACTGAAAACAGGGAACCAGAGATAGCAATGTATAATGAAGCTAATTAAAAAACAAAAAAAGGGAATAGTGTAGATACAGAACTTCCAAATGGCAAGGAAGTCAAGTAGACTTCAAGATAAAACAGATCCTTTTAAACAGGGAAAAAGATGAATAAATTATAGGGTAATCGCAAAGAAAATTAATACACTTGCACATCAAAAAAAATTTTTTTAAAGTGTTAAATCAGGAAGATTTTGTAAAACATGATCACAATAGAAATTAAAATAAAAAAGATAGCAATCAATTCATGGTAGTGGTGGTGCTTATGTGCCATGGAGTCGGTTCTGACCCATAGCGACCCTGTACAGGGTTTCCGAGGGTGTAAATCTTTACAGGAGCAGAAAGCCTCATCTTTCTCCTGCAGAACAGCTGGTATACCTACTGATAATTACACTGAATGTAAATGGGTTAAATCATCAGTCAAGAGTAAGCAGAATGGATAAGAGAACAGGATCCTTCAATATTATGTCTACAAGAGACACAGCAAAAAGATGGAGACAGCCTAAATGCCTATCAACAGAAGAACGGCTAAACAAACTTGGGCACATACACACAATGGAATACTACGCAGCACTGAATAATGATGATGAATTTGCAAAACAGATTGTAATCGTTGCAATGAAAAGATAAGTGTAAAACCGATGTTCTCCCATGTAAACTATCATTCAATTCACAATAAATACTTAAGAATTAATATATAATGGAATTTCCCCACAAAATTTTTGAAGCCCCTTGGTAAAAGTAACCTCACTGGCTAAATTTTTGTTCGTTATTGTTGTAAATATATCTATCATACAACTTTTGACAATTCAACTTTCGATAGGGGTACAACTTATTGACAGATGTTACAATTGTCTATGAGATTTTTCTTATCATTATTAGTGCCCCCTTTCTCCCTTCGTCCCTCCCACCCTTGGTCACTACTAATAAACTTTGGTCTCCATTAAAAACAAAAAACAAAAAACAAACACCTCACAACATGTATGAACCTGGAGGGCACTATGCTGAGCGAAATCAATCACAGGACAAACATTTTATGAGGACAATGTTGTAAAAAGGTAAGAAAATGTTTTCTTTATAAAAGATGCAATCTATGATGGTTGGGGGAAGATGGGAGGAAAAATGATTCATCGACAGACGGCACTTTCCGGTCCCCAAAAGATTTAAAGGCTCAGAAACTCTATATTGGGTTGCTGAGTGGGAACTGACCTGACCGTTGCTTCTTAACAAGAGGTTTTACACATTAGACACTGGTTAACACAGGTGACAGGGCGGGCAATATACAGGAGGGAGGCTAGCAGAGGAAAGACGAAGGCAGCAGGAGACACAGGGAGGAATGCAAGAGTTAAAGTGAATAGAGGTAAATGCTGTTAACTGTCAGTACATGGAGGGGATTGCAATCATTGTAATGAAGCAAAGTGTATGATTTGTTGAATGTAAAACTGATGGTCTGCTCTGTAAACCTTCACTCAATTCACAATAAAAGTTAAAGATATATACACACATAATATATATATTTACATGCAATGGTTGTTGGTTTTAAATTCAATGAAGTGCCGAGTGTCATCTGAAAAGTTCCATCTGAAAAGTTCCGTTCATGACACGTCAGGCTTCTGCCCACCAGAGCAGAGAAACACCTGTTGTTGCTCGAAAAGGGTCACAGTGGGCTGTCTGTGTGTTAACACAGCCTGCCCGTCACACCCAGTACAGGCGTGCTTTCGCCTGGCAGGCGTGGGCCAGCAGTGCCCTTTCGTCACCCATTTGGCAGACATGCCCCAAGTTCTCCGCAGGCCTGGCTGGACTGAAAATGTACAGGGCTTTTCTCTGGTGGAGAGGACAGGCTGGTGGCTTATTCAGGCCTGTGGCTCACCCTTTTAAGAGGACACGTAAATGAGGTTGTAAGAGAAGTGAGTCTTCCTTCAGTGACAGCAGACTTGCCCTGAGTGCACACCCGTCCAAGGACCACTCTGCTCCAGGAGTAGCTGTGTGTGAATATGTTCACTCACCATATCCCACACGGCAATACAATAGCTAGAAGGGGTATTGGCTAGAAAAGCGTGGGGCAATGGGGTGGGAACACACAGAGGGCAGAAGTAAACATGATCACATGTGCTGTGGAGATAGTTCGGAGAAAAGTGTGCGGACAGGAAGTGGAGTTCACATGGCGCATCCAAATGTATATGTGTCAGTGAGAAGCTCTTCTCAAGCGTCTCCCAGCCCACAGCCCCCCAATATCCACCGCCATCGCTTCATTTCCAACTCATAGTGGTAGATCTTTAAGGGAGCATCTTTCTCCCACTGCAGATCTACCTAACCCACTGCACTAGCAGCTACACAAGATGCGGCTCTTTTAAAGTAACAAGCTACTGAAAGGACACCTGTGCCTTTTCAACACAACTGATGTCTGACACTCCCTAGGTGGCTGAACCAGGTAGCGGTTTCTTGGGTTTAGATGTGAATTGGGCACTTCATTTTTTTATTAGGCAGAAATAACTATTAC